GAAGAAAAGAACAGCTCAGAAACCAGAGTAGACTTGGGAGTAAAGTCACAGGTGGAAGGTGATTGTCCCCTCCCATGGGAAATAAATGAGGTGCAAAAGGGGAGGGTTTTTTTTGCAGGAAACAATTCGTTCATTCGGTCGTTAGATTCAGTTCAGGAGTGTGAAGATCTGTCCGTGAATCTCAGAGACTCTGTGCCGAGTCTTTCCTTGCACAACACCTCATTTGGAAATCATTTACAGGGCAGCTTTCCAAGCTAGATAAGGTCTGTGGTCATAAATATTCCTTTGAAAGACTGTTTGCCAGGCCTTGGCTGAATGGGAAGGAGAGGAATTCACATTAGTTTAATAACAGGGGTTTTGCCTCGTGCTTCTTGGGGAAGCCTAGCTCAGAACACGTTCTCTTTCTCTCTTTCCCTTTGTTTTAGCTGAATATATTTGTGGACACCACGTACTTCAAAAGTTCAGCTGGGACACCACAGAAAATGATCAACAACTTCCGTCCTTTACAGCTTCTCAATGGCCGCACCGTCTATGCTTCGCGTGATGCCACCATCAGCTGCGGCTCTTCTCTTGTTGCCAATTTACTTCTTCCTCTGCTCTTGTTTTCTTTCATTGGCCAGCTCTCTGCTTCCTCCTAGCTGCCTGAGCTCAACCACGAATCCATTGTAGATCGGTGGTACCTTCACAGTTGTGGTCCTTCAGTGTGATGCTTCCCTAGTTGAGCTGAATGCGGCACAAGTCCAGATCACGGAGTGTTTGATTGATTTATGAGAAAGAGCCCTGGGGACAATTGTATTGCCATCAAAGGCATCCGAATCACGATTACTACCATAAATGGGACTAGCAATGAGACAAGAAAGGTAGAAAGCTTCCACGTTGGCCAACGGATGGGAGGTCCTCACACAAGGCAGAAGATTGGCACACAAGGTACCTTCTGCCAGCATGGGAAATGAAGGCCACAATGATGTAAATTGAAGTTCTAATGAATAAATTCAGAGTTCTTAATTTTTCCATGATGGGGCTGACTCCATTTCATTCCTTCCAACCAGAGGTGGGTTCCTACCAGTTCGCACATATTCGGTAGAACCGGTTTGTCAAATCTACCGAACCGGTTAGAAGAGGTTCCACCAGTGGACCCGGAAAGCAGGCCACACCTACAGAAGAGGTTCCAAATTTTTTTGAAATCCACCACTGCCCCCCCCCCCCACAGAGAGAGACAGACTGACAGAGAGAGAGAGAGAGAGAAAGA